CTGATAAAACGATGGATGTATTTTAGGAGTATGAAACATTCAAAAATGACTAATAAATACTTTGGGTTAAATTAAAAAAAAAAAAAAAAAAAAAAATTAAATTTCAGGAAAATTTTTTATTTTTTTCCTATTTACATATACTAGTCTTTTCAGATTGGGTCATTTACGGCCGTAGCTGATCTACTCAAAAGCAAAAAAACAAACAAAAAAATCCCTCTTAAATCTAGCGAACGCCCAATGCTGGAAGCTGTTTTGTGATCTGAACCAACATTTGGACAGTCAGTTTCCGAGGAGAAAAATTCCAATGGTTCAAATGTTGGTGTCCATTTTGCTGGCAAACAGCAGACTTCCAATACCAATGAAATTAAGGAAATAAAATTGCTATTTTTTTTTTTTTTTTCCTAATTTCCTCATACTTCTAGTTTTTTTTCGGATTGGGCATTTTACGGACGTAACATCTATTCAAAGCAAAAATAATCCCTCTTGAATTTAACAAACACCCAACATGGGAAGCTATTCTGTGAGCTGAACCACCATCTGGACCGTCTTCGGATGAACATTTTAGGATAAACTGTAGAATTATGGTTCGCCAAACGTTGGTGACCATTTTGCTGGCTAACAGTAGATATCCAATAAAAAAATGTAATTTAGGCAATAAAATAATTTTTTTTTTTTTTTTTTTTTTTGTTTTCAATTTACTCGTCTTTTCGCATTGGGCTTTTTGTGGCCATAGTTGATATCGGCAAAGCAAAAACAATCCCTCTTGAATTTAGTGAACACCCAAAGCAGGAAACTATTTTGTGAGTTGAACCAACATCCAGACAAAATGCGTTTCCCAGAAGGAACATTTTTTTTTATTTAAGATAAGCTGTAGAATTAGGGTTTCCCCAACGTTGGTGACCATTTTCTGAAAGCCACCAAATGCTTGGCCAACAGACGTCAAGAAGCCTTAGTAGACCAAGTGGACTGATTTTCAATAAAAAGTCTTCGGCTTTAGAAGGCAGGCAAGATGAATGTATGGAGCTCACAAGATAGCACGATCTTTTGAGGGTTAAAACCCAAAGTGTAGAATTCTAGTTCACCCAACGTTGGTGACCATTTCGTGGAAGCTGAATACATGGCCAATAGCAATTTTTTGAGGGTTAACCCAAAACTGTAGAATTCTACATACCCAACGTTGGTGACCACTTTGTGGAAGCCAAATACATGGCCAATCGCAATCTTTTGAGGGTCACCCAAAACTGCAGAATTATAGTTCACCCAACATTGGTGACCATTTCGTGGAAGCTGAATACATGGCCAATCGCAATCTTTTTGTCGAGGTCACCCAAAAAACTGCAGAATTATAGTTCACCCAACATTGGTGACCATTTCGTGGAAGCTGAATACATGGCCAATCGCAATCTTTTGAGGGTCCACCCAAAACTGTAGAATTATTAGTTCACCACCCAACATTGGTGACCATTTCGTGGAAGCTGAATACATGGCCAATAGCAATCTTTTGAGGGTCCACCAAAACTGTAGAATTCTAGTTCAACCAACGTTGGTGACCATTTTGTGGAAGCCAATACATGGCCAATAGCAATCTTTTGAGGGTTAACCCAAACTGTAGAATTCTAGTTCAACCAACGTTGGTGACTGCCAAATACATGGCCAATAGCAATCTTTTAAGGGTCAACCCAAACTGTAGAATTATAGTTCACCCAACGTTGGTGACCATTTTGTGGAAGCCAAATACATGGCCAATAGCAATTTTTTGAGGGTTAAACCCAAACAGTTAGAATAGTTCAACCAACGTTGGTAACCATTTTGTGAAAGCCAAATGCATGGCCAATATCAATCTTTTAAGGTTTAACCCAAACTGTAGAATTATGGTTCACCCAACGTTGGAGACCATTTTGTGGAAGCAAATACATGGCCAATAGCAACATTCAATAAAAATGTAATTTAGGAAATACAATTATTTTTTCCCCCCCATTTACTCAGACTATTCTTCTCAACATTGGGTATTTTATTAGATGGCCATGGCGGATAAACGCAAAGCAAAAACAATCCCTCTTGAATTTAGCAAACACCCAATGCAGGAAGCTACTTTGTGGAGCTGAACCAAACATCTGGATAATCAGTTGCCTAGGATGAAAGTTTTTTAAAAGAGAACTGTAGAATTATGGCTCACCCAACATTGGGAACCATTTTGTGAAAGCCAACCAAATGCTTGGCCAACAGTAAACGTCAAGAAGCCCTAAGTAGACCACGTCGATTCCATTGCAATAAAAAAGGCAGCCAAGATGGACATACTGAATCCTCACGACAAAACTTTTGAGGGTTAACCCAAACTGTAGAATTATAGTTCACCCAATGTTGGTGTACATTTAGTCGAAGCCAAATACATGGCCAATAGCAATCTTTTGAAGGTCCACCAAAACTGTAGAATTCTAGTTCACACCCAAATACAATGGCACAATAACGTTGGGAGACCATTTAGTGGAAGCAAATACATGGATCAATAGCAATCTTTTTTGAGGGTCAACGAAAACTGTAGAATTATAGTTCACCCAACGTTGGTGTCCATTTTGTGAAAGCCACCAAATCCTTGGCCAATAGCAACATCCAATCAAAACGTAATGTAGGAAAATTGTTATTTTTTCCTCCCAATTACTCAGATTAGTCTTTTCAGATGGCCAATAACAATCTTAACGGTTTACCCAAACTGTAGAATTAGAATTCACCCAACGTTGGTGTCCATTTTAGTGGAAGCCAAATACATGCCAATAGCAATCTTTTGAGGGTCAACCCAAACTGTAGAATTCTAAATTCACACCAACGCTGGTGACCATTTTGTGAAAGCCACCAAATCCTTGGCCAATAGCAACATCCAATCAAAACATAATTTAGGAAAATTGTTATTTTTTTCCTCCCAATTACTCAGATTAGTCTTTTCAGATTGGGTAATTTACGGCCATAGCTGATCTACACAAAGCAAAACAATCCCTCTTGAATTTAGCGAACGCCCAATGCGGAAAGCTGCTTTTTGAGCTGAACCAACATCTAGACAAATCGGTTTCCTAAGAGAAAAAAAAAATTAGAACTGTAGAATTACCGTTCAACAACATTGGTGGGCCATTTTCTAAAAGATACCAAATGCTCTGCGAACAGTAAATGTCAAGAACCTCTAGTACACCAAGTGGACTTCTCTGCAATAAAAAGTCTTTGGCTTTGGAAGGCAGGCAAGATGGATGTGTTGAGCTCACAAAATAGCACGATCTTTTGAGGGTTAACCCAAACTGTAGAATTATAGTTGACCCAACTTTGGTGACCATTTTGCGGAAGCCAAATGCATGGCCAATCGCAATCTTTTGAGGGTTAACCCAAAAACTGTAGAATTATGGTTCAACCAACACGTTGGTGACCATTTTGTGGAAGCCAAATACATGGCCAATAGCAAGCTTTGAGGGTTAACCCAAACTGTACAATTATGGTTCAACCAATGCTGGTGACCATTTTGTGGAGAAGCCAAATGCATGGCAATAGCAAGCTTTTGAGGGTTAACCCAAACTGGTAGAATTATGATTCAACCAATGCTGGTGACCATTTTGTGGAAGCCAAATGCATGGCCAATAGCAATCTTTTGAGGTTAACCCAAACTGTAGAATTATGGTTCAACCAATGCTGGTGACCATTTTGTGGAAGCCAAATGCATGGCCAATAGCAATCTTTTGAGGGTTAACCCAAAAAACTGTAGAATTATGGTTCAACCAACGTTGGTGACCATTTCATGGAAGCCAAATACATGGCTTTTGAAGCTTTTGAGGGTTAACCCAAACTGTAGTATTATAGTTCAACGTTGGTGACCATTTTGTGGAAGCCAAATACATGGCCAATAGCAATCTTTTGAGGGTTAACCCAAACGGTAGAATTATGGTTCAACCAACGTTCGTGACCATTTCATGGAAGCCAAAATACAAGGCCAATAGCAAGCTTTTGAGCTCACAAGATAGCACGATCTTTTGAGGGTTAACCACACATCAAAATTTAGGATTGGACAGGACATCAAACAGGGGGAGAAATTTGGGCTAATTTTTTATGAGCCAAAGAATCGGCACACGGCTTAATTTTTTAAGACTCAACACCATTGGGGAGGATGGGAAAAAAAAAAAAAAAAAAAAAAAAAAAGCTGGTGTAGATGTGAAGGACCATCCATTATGAAGATTAGGAGACACACGCAGAAAGGATGAAGGAGGAAAAATTAGCTGGCTTAAGATGGCTGCTTTTTTCTCTAGCAAAAACAAAAAAACAAAAAAACATTTTACTTACAAAAATAATCCTCTCTCATCCATTCCTCAAGCTTCCTGTGTTTTATTTTTTTTTTGGAATTTTTAAATTTTTCTAAATTTCAAAAGTTCTTTCTCTTTCCTCTCGGTGCCAACAGTCTCAGCTGCTGGTAATAGAAGAAACTTCTGAGGAATTTAAGGGTTTTCAAGACGCTGAGATCGCGGGTTTCTGACGTTTCGGGCGACACTGTCTCATTTATTTTTTTATTTTTGTTTTTCCACATGAAAGTCGGTAAATCCAAAGTGCAAATTTTGCCAAGCAGAGTGCCCCGCTCTCCATGGGGGAAGGAACAAGACTGAAGAGGAAAATGCGTGGGGTTTTTTTTTTTTTTGCTTGTTTTTTTTTTTATTTTTGTAGACTATAGTCCTAGAACTGTCTTGCAAAAAGCTGAAAGAAAATGTGGCTATTAAGTATGAGCACTGCCCTCCACTTCTCAGGGGGAGAAAAAAAAAAAAAGGCAGATGGGCGAAGTTCCCACGCCAAGGAAAGTGGGATTTGTTGGGGGGGGGGGGGGGGAGGGGAGTAGCAGGGTTTGCTCATGATGGGATGCACTGTACTCGGTCAGGGCCTTCTTCGTCGTCGTCGGAGCTGTCGGAGGTGCTAGGGGATCCTAATCTACAGTCGTTCATCGCCAGGGAATTGAGTGAGCGGTCTGGTCTTCTCCTCTGCAGGGGGTGAAAACAAGGGCGGCACCTAATAATGTATAAAAAAACAGGTAAACAAAGCAAAACAAAAAACACTATCAGCAAGTAGATAAAAACCAGAGATAAATATTGGTGGGAAAACTCTCTGCATAAAAGGGGAATCCTACAAACACCTTCCCAGAACAAATACTGTTCTCACGAGTCTACATGTGATGTGTTGATGGTGCCCCAATACTTTGCCCTCAATCTGGTGGGAATTATCAATCAGCAGAGATCGGTTTCAAACTGCCGAGACAGATTGTGGGGTAATCTGACTTGTCCGAAAGGCTTATTCCACAACGGGGTCAAAAAAACAAAGGGGCCTCCATGGCCCAATGGCAATGGAAGGACATTTAAAAACGCTAGTACTAGAGATGGTTCCCCGTTGCCTCCAAGCCTAAACTCCAGTCAAGGAGAGACGGACCTTTTGGAGAATGTCAGACCGTGGCTAGTAGAGCACGTTCCCCCAATTGGGGGGTGGCTTTCTGGCTCCTCCTTGATTGAGTAGAGGCAAGACCGTCAGTGATCATGGCGGTTGTTTAGCCTGCCATACCCCCCCCCCAAGAAGATACAAACAGACTTCCATAGTGGCAAACCGCAACCATTCCCGCCTGCCAAAGTCAACCGCAGGCTTAAAAGGTGCCCTAAGGCCCCCCCCTCCTGCAGTCAACAGCAGACAATCCCCGCCCCCCTGGAGAGACCGGCAAGCTCCAAGATGGTGGAGGGGGTCAAGCGCATGCTAAAGCAGAGGGACCAATCCCCCCACCCTGGGGCTCCCCTTGCAGTCAACACGAAGCCCGACAGGAAGGGTAACACATGCTACTAGTGGGACATGGCCAGGCCGTCGCCTAACAACAGCAGACAAAGGAAAACACGTAAATTCCCCCCCCCCCCCCTGCAGTCAACCGCAGACAATTCCCCCCCCCCCCCCCCGCAAGTCAACGGCAGGATTCCAATTCCCCCCCTGGTTGGACCCCCCCTCCCCAGTCAACCGCAGAGACAATTCCCCCCCCCCCCCCCTGCAGTCAACCGCCGACAATCCACCAGTCACCAGTCAACCGCCGACAATCCACCAGTCAACCGCCGACAATCCACCAGTCAAACCGCCGACAAACTCCACCCGACAATCCCCCCCCCCTGCCAGTCAACCGCCGACAATCCACCAGTCAACCGCCGACAATCCACCAGTCAACCGCGGACCAATTCCGCCGACAATTCCCCCCCACTCCAAAACGCGCGACAATCCCCCCCCAAAAACCGCCCGACAATCCCCCCCAACCGCCGACAATCCACCTGTCAACCGCCCACAAACCGCCTTACCCCAGTCACAATCCCCCGCCGAACAAATCCACCAGTTCAACCGCCGACAATCCCCCCCCGAAAATCCACCAGTCAACGCCGACAATCCACCAGTCAACCGCCGACAAAATCCCACCAGTCAACGCCGACAATCCACCTAGAGTTCCCCTTTATACAGCGATGCCTTTTCTATTCTCATGGTATCTCGCCATGCTTGACTTCTACAATCGGCAGATGATAGAAAAAAATAAAAAATCTGTCTTGCAAACACAAATTAATTATCTTCCTGATTTAAGAAGAGAGAGGACTATTTTAAATGAGAGAATTGGAACGTGTCAGATCAGGGCAGTTTGTTTTGTCACATCCCTGTCATCTTTGCATCCAATTAAGTGCGCCGTGGCTCTGCTGGCTCTTTAATTATCCGCACAGAAGAGAGAAGCGGCCGTGTTTTCACCAGACAGGCAGCCTACACATGCGGCAATTAAAAAAGCCGCGCGCGACTTGTAATGAAAAACTGTTTCACTTGATCCTGCAAGCAGCGCAGAGAAGTGGCTGGACGGGCGGGGAAGGTCCGCTCACCAGGGCTCATCGACGGCAAAGCATTCTGGGAGGAAGGCAACAAGTGCACTTCTGCGCCAAATTAATTGCCTCCTTGAGCTGGGCCGATCGTGTTGGCGAGCCGCCGTATAATGAGTGCCTATGGCAGCCCTTCCAAACTATTCCGTATGAACGGACAAAAACCGGTCCGCGGATAGGGAGAGGGCCCGGGAGGTCGGGTGTAAACGGTCTCCGACATCCGCCCCACTGCCCTCCGATCCGAGCCGCCCAGACGGAGGACGATGGATCTGAAGAAAGAAGCAAACAAATGCTGTGACTCCTGCGCTGGACGATGAACTCCACAATGTCTGTGACCACACATGGCATACTTTAGGAATGCACGCCTTGCTGCCCTCACCGGACCAGGGGAATCCAAAATGAACTGCATACAAAACAGAGGGCACACGGGACCTTCTAAAAAAATGGTTGATGCATTTCTAGGCTGCGCCTCTTCCCTCAGAGCCAATCTCTTGAAAAAAAGAAAAGGGAAGCAGAAAAGGGAAAAAGAAAAGCGAAAAAAAAAAAGAAAAGCAAAAAAGAAACAAAGAAAAGAAAAGAAAGAAAAGAAAAAAAGAAAAAAAAGAAAACAAAGTAAAAAAGAAAAAAAGCAAAAGAAAAGCAAAAAAGCAAAAGAAAAAAAGAAAAGCAAAAAAAGCAAAAAAAAGAAAATGTGAAAGAAAAAGCAAAAAAAGAAAAAAAGAAAAGCAAAAAAGAAAAGAAAAAGGAAAAGAAAAGCAAAAAAGAAAAAAAGAAAAGAAAAGCAAAAAAAAGAAAGGAAAAGAAAAGCAAAAAAGAAAAAGAAAAAAGAAAAGAAAAGCAAAAAAAACGAAAAGCAAAGAAAAGAAAAGAAAAAAGCAAAAAAGAAAAAGCAAAAAAGAAAAGAAAAGCAAAAAAAAATAAAAGAAAAAGAAAAGAAAAAAGCAAAAAAGAAAAGCAAAAAAAGAAAAGAAAAGCAAAAAAGAAAAGCAAAAAAAAGAAAGGAAAAGAAAAGCAAAAAAGAAAAAGAAAAAAGAAAAGAAAAGCAAAAAAGAAAAGAAAAGAAAAAAGCAAAAAAGAAAAAGCAAAAAAAAAGAAAAGAAAAGCAAAAAAAAAAAGAAAAGCAAAAAAGAAAAAGAAAAGAAAAAAGCAAAAAAGAAAAGCAAAAAAGAAAAAGAAAAGCAAAAAAGAAAAAGAAAAGAAAAGCAAAAAAGAAAAAAAGCAAAAAAGAAAAAAGCAAAAAAGAAAAAGGAAGAAAAAGAAAAGAAAAGAAAAGAAAAAAAAAAACACAAAACATTGATCTCGGCTTTCCAGGGAGAAAAAAAAATATGGCAGGGTTTAGATCTGCCAGGACCGGAAGTGACGTCACAACGCCACTTGCGGCCTCCCAGAGGTGGCTGGTGACCATCGGGTCCAAGGCCAGCTCTGTGGTCTCATGACGTCCTACGGGTGTGAGAAATGGTTAAAGGAAAACTATGTAGAAGAACACGCTTGTGCGAGAAGGCGCTGATGGAAGCAGCCACTGCCTGATTGGTTGTACAAAAGCTGACCCTAAATCCGTTCCCTGACTACAGCGCGTCAGTCGGGAAAAGGTTGCTGCTATCAGAGTCTAATCACCAGGACGTCTCGCCTTGTGAGAACTTTGAATGACATTTAGTAGAGGTCCCTGTGGAGACACTTGAGCGGGGAGGGGGTGGGGAGAGCAGCCTGTACTCACCCTGCGGTGCCCCCTCTGCCGTAGATGGTGCATCAGAAACCATAACATGTGGTTGTCGAACAGGTCGGCGTGGTGTAGGCTGTCCTCGTCTCTTTCACGTTTGTTTTTCTTGATAACCTGGAGGAAAAAAAGAACGGATGTTTAAAAGCAGAACTTTACCCAGAACAATCATTTTTTTTTTTTTTTTTTTTTACAAAAGATACATTCCACATTGATAATGATGCTACTGAAATTAACGCGAGCTGAAAATCTCCCTTTTTTTTTGTTTTTGCTGGAGGCCACCATTTTGTTGAAGCCCAGAGCAGTCGCTTCCTTATTGGAAATTTCCCCCTTTCCTTGGTCTTGAAAACTATATATGTCACTTTCTGAAAATATAAAAATATGTGCATTTCCAGCCTTGATTGTAGGTCTTGGCTCAGCTAGAGAGGAAGGCTGACAGAAGCTTCACAGTGCTGAAAGTTCTCAGTCCTGCTAGCAGAAAGGAGAGAATCAGGGAGACGAGATACTATCCCTGTAGAACTGAAGGCAAGACTTTTTTCTTCATTTTGGATGGGGGGGGTCATAACCCGTCAGATTTTTTTTTTTTTCCATCTGTGTCCCATTGGGGAGATTTTCCTTCAATTCCTGTCCCACAGCCAAAACAGGAAGTGAGAGTAAATCACAAATTAAGGAAATTCCTTGGGAACCCTCAGGTCATCAGCACTAGTGTCCCCATTGGAAGATTTCCCCTCTACTACTTTTCTATGGACAACCCAAAATGTGGGATTTTTTTTTACTTTCAATGAAAATGGTAAAACAGGACAAACAGGGGGGGGGGGGAATTTCCTTCAAGTGTTCCTAAAAACCCCCAACAGTACAATCAGTCTGTAGATGCAGTAAAGCATGCTTGTTATACTCACTGTGGGACCTAAGGGGTTAATCCTCCACATTGTGTAAAAAGGCAGTTTGATCCTTTCTTCTCTGTTCCTCCCCTTTTTCAAGTGACCACCTCTTATCGCCTGATAAGACAGACTGAACCGTTTTTTGCACATGCTCAGTTTGTTGTGTATTGCTAGAGAGGTGATTTTTTTTCCTCGGGAGAGTGCATGTGATCATAACAGGGCCAATCAGTACTGGTCAGACAGAAAGTCAGGGGTTTTGCATCCTCCTAGAGCAGAAAAAAAAACCCCTCCTACAAGCTTTAACGAGTGCTCTGCTGGACGCTGATAGAAGTCACAAGACTACTCTATACTGCTGATGAGAAAAGGGATTTAGCAGTTTATATTTACTAGAAATTGCACTTCCATGTTCTGTGTACTGTGAATGCAGGGTCCGGGGTTTGTAACACCTGTCACCTCCCCTGCTTTTATTTTCCTCCGATATCACTAATGCCCTGTGGTTCCTCCTACAGATCCCTACATCACTAAAGCTCTGTGATTCCTACTACTAACTCCTACATCACTAAAGCTCTGTGGACCCCACTACTGAGCCCTAGACCATTCAAGCGCTGTGGTTCCTCCTATAGACTCCTACAGCACTAAATCTCTGTGGTTCCTACTACATCATTAAGGCTCTGTAGGTCCTGCTACTGACAACTTACATCACTAAAGTCCTGGTTCCTCTATTGACCCCTACATCACTTTTGCTTTGTGGTTCCACCTACTTCACTAAAGCTCCGAGGTTCCACCTACTTCACTTCACTTAAGCTCCGAGGTTCCACCTACTTCACTAGCGCTCCGAGGTTCCACCTACTTCACTAGCGCTCCGAGGTTCCACCTACTTCACACTAAACGCTCCGAGGTTCCACCTACTTCACTAGCGCTCGCTCCGAGGTTCCACCTACTTCACTACTTCACGCTCCGAGGTTCCACCTACTTCACTAACGCTCCGAGGTTCCACCTACTTCACTAGCGCTCCGAGGTTCCACCTACTTCACTAGCGCTCCGAGGTTCCACCTACTTCACTAGCGCTCCGAGGTTCCACCTACTTCACTTACGCTCCGAGCGCTCCGAGGTTCCACCTACTTCACCAACGGCTCACTAACCGCTCCGAGGTTCCACCTACTTCACTAGCGCTCCGAGGTTCCACCTACTTCACTAACGCTCCGAGGTTCCACCTACTTCACTAACGCTCCGAGGTTCCACCTACTTCACTAACGCTCCGAGGTTCCACCTACTTCACTAACGCTCCGAGGTTCACACCTACTTCCGAGGGGTTCCACCTACTTCACCAAACTAGGTTTCGCTCCGAGGTTCCACCTACTACTCACTAACGCTCCGAGGTTCCACCTACTTCACTAACGCTCCGAGGTTCCACCTACTTCTCACTAACGCTCCGAGGTTCCACCTACTTCACTAACGCTCCGAGGTTCCACCTACTTCACTAACGCTCCGAGGTTCCACCTACTTCACTAACGCTCCGAGGTTCCACCTACTTCACTAACGCTCCGAGGTTCCACCTACTTCACTAACGCTCCGAGGTCCACCTACTTCACTAACGCTCGAGGTTCCACCTACTTCACTAACGCTCCGAGGTTCCACCTACTTCACTAACGCTCCGAGGTTCCACCTACTTCACTAACGCTCCGAGGTTCCACCTACTTCACTACGCTCCGAGGTTCCACCTACTTCACTACTTCGCTCCGAGGTTCCACCTACTTCACTAACGCTCCGAGGTTCCACCTACTTCACTAAAGCTCCGAGGTTCCACCTACTTCACTAAAGCTCCGAAGGTTCCACCTACTTCACTAAAGCTCCGAGGTTCCACCTACTTCACTAAAGCTCAAGGTTCCACCTACTTCACTAAAGCTCCGAGGTTCCACCTACTTCACTAAAGCTCCGAGGTTCCACCTACTTCACTAAAGCTCCGAGGTTCCACCTACTTCACTAAAGCTCCGAGGTTCCACCTACTTCACTAAAGCTCCGAGGTTCCACCTACTTCACTAAAGCTCCGAGGTTCCACCTACTTCACTAAAGCTCCGAGGTTCCACCTACTTCACTAAAGCTCCGAGGTTCCACCTACTTCACTAAAGCTCCGAGGTTCCACCTACTTCACTAAAGCTCCGAGGTTCCACCTACTTCACTAAAGCTCCGCTCCGGTTCCTCCTACTTCACTAAAGCTCCGAGGTTCCTCCTACTTCACTAAAGCTCTGTGGTTCCTCCTACTTCACTAAAGCTCTGTGGTTCCTCCTAATGACCCCTACCCACTAAAGGACACACTGGTGACAGAGGGGCTGACAAGAGCACTCAGAAAGTATATTTTATCTAGGAAACCAGCAAGTCTCAAAGCCCAGAGGCCAAAGCTCTGCAAGTTCCACCACACCACCTGTTGGAAAAGCCAGTGTTAAGTTCACTTTTCAGGGTGCATCCAGTTTTTACCGTGAGCACTGCATGTATTCCTCGACTTTGGGGGTCTGTGGTCAGCTGAAATGTCACTGAATGGCGGGAACCACCCCCCCCCCCCCCCCACCCCCCCAAGTGTTCTGAAGTCAATGACCCAGAGTCCAGTTCATCTACATTACAGGTAGCCATCTACATGCCAACCTTGAGCAGGACTTCACCCGAAGGCTCTGGAGTTCATTAAGATGGCAAAGCCAAGAACGCAGCTCCTGGTATATTGCACCCCACCAACCCTTTCATACGTAGCCCACCGCTCCCCGCACGGGAAGGAAGAGGTTACTCTGCTCGTCTTACGACTTGCATGGCACGAGATGCATCTCCCAGGAGCTGTGACGATAACACCATATGGGGTAACGATGAGCTCACCGCCGTGCTGACTAATCGCGGGGCCCACACACTCACCAGACGCCTTTCAAGAAGACGTTAACCCTTTAGTGCCGTGACTTGGCAATACACAGCCGAGGGGGTGGGCTGCTGTACCCCAGGGATGTATCACCAGCCGAGGGGGTGGGCTGCTGT